GATGATATCCCGGACGTCAGTCTGAGCGAGATTAGAATGGCTCTCCACCACCTTAAAAACGGCAAGGCCCCGGGCGAGGATGGAATTACAGCGGAGCTTCTGAAAGCGGGTGGAAAACCGGTACTTGAAGTCCTTCGGAAGCTCTTCAATTCCGTCCTCCATGGTGGCACTACTCCCGAGGCGTGGAGCAGAAGCGCGGTGGTTTTGTTCTTTAAGAAAGGCGACAACGCTCTCTTGAAGAACTACAGACCGATTTCCCTTCTGAGCCGCGTCTACATGCTATTTTCGAGAGTCATTACGAATCGTCTCGCACGCAGACTCGACGACTTCCAGCCTCCCGAACAAGCCGGTTTCCGAAAAGGCTTCAGTACTATAGACCACATACATACCCTGCGGCAGATTGTACAGAAGACCGAAGAGTACAATCTGCCACTTTGCCTGGCATATGTGGACTATGAGAAAGCCTTTGATTCCGTCGAAATTTGGGCGGTGCTACAGTCCCTTCAGCGGTGCCAAGTTGACTGTCGGTACATCGAAGTGCTGAAGTGTTTGTACAGTAGGGCTACGATGGCTATCCGAGTACAGAACCAGAGTTCGAAACCTATCCAACTACAGAGAGGTGTAAGACAGGGTGATGTTATATCCCCGAAACTCTTCACCGCTGCGTTGGAAGACGTTTTCAAGCTACTGGACTGGAAAGGATACGGTATTAACATCAATGGCGAGTACATCACTCACCTTCGATTTGCCGACGATATAGTCATTATGGCAGAATCGCTGGAGGACTTAAGCATTATGCTCAATGACCTCAATAGTGCCTCCCAACGGATAGGTCTTAAGATGAACATGGACAAAACAAAGATCATGTTTAATGTCCATGTCACACCTATGCCGGTAGTTGTTGGGAGCACTATGCTCGAAGTTGTTGACGAGTACGTTTACCTGGGACAAATAGTCCGACTAGGTAAGTCCAACTTCGACCGAGAGGTCAATCGACGGATTCAACTCTGCTGGGCAGCGTTCGGGAAATTACGACATATCTTTTCGTCAGGTATACCTCAATCTCTAAAAACTAGATTGTACAACCAGTGCGTGTTGCCAGTGATGACTTACGGATCTGAGACGTGGTCCTTCACTGCTGGCCGTATGAGGACGCTTAAGGTCGCTCAGCGAGCTATGGAGAGGGCTATGCTTGGAGTTTCTCTGCGTGATAGACTCAGAAATGAGGATATCCGCAGTAAAACCAGAGTGACCGACATAGCCCAACGGATTAGTAAGCTGAAGTGGCAATGGGCCGGCCATATAGCTCGAAGAACCGATAACCGATGGGGAAGAAAGGTTCTCGAGTGGCAGCCTCGTACCGGTAGGCGTAGTGTAGGGCGACCCCCCACTAGATGGAGTGACGACCTGGTAAGACATGCAGGAAGTCGATGGATGCAGGTGGCTCAGGACCGTGCTTTGTGGCATTACTTGGGGGAGGCCTATGTTCAGCAGTGGACTTGTGAAGGGCTGTAATGATGATGATGATGATGATCAATTTTAGATTTTTTTTAATATAATAAGGGTGACAAACGAGCACACAGTCCACCTGGTAGTAAGTGGATGCTCTGACCCATAGACATCTACATTTATCTTCAATTCAGAATCAAAATGCAGAAGCGTTGTCACCCCTGAGGACTGAGATGGTATGCTTCGTTTACAGTAAAAAGGGTCTCTGGTTCTCTACACTCACCATACGAATCACAGCAGCATTAAGCTGCTATTTTACGATGGTATTCTGTGAGAGCGTGGTCCCCGGCCGAGCCGACTCATTCGTGCTACGACCACAATATAATTACAGCATTGCTCTACCACGTAATAATTACTTTATTTATGTCACTTAATATATATTTGTAATCACAAAATTTTCATTTTGAAACTTAGAAAATTAATACTCGTATGTGTATAAATACTAATTTCCCTGCACTGAAAGGTAACAAGCGGATTCGCCTGTCTTCATAAACAAGTTTAGCCTCAGAAAAGTCTTTCGCTGTACACGCTGGCTACTGAAAGATAGATGATTTTGGCAAACTTTGTTAATAGAGTATTGTGCGTTAGCTGCCCACCAAATATAAGGGTCACGATCGCGAACAATTTGTATTGACTTTACTTTTTGCTTCTTGCGATGCACCAAACGACAATGTTTGGCAGATATCCGGCGGCCGGGTATCCGGCTATCCGGCGATAAAACTGGCCGAATAACCGGTATCCGGCCAAACAACTGTCCGTTTCATCTCTAATTTTAAGTATTACACGTGTTAGAGCCTCACTTCACTCGGTATTATGGCTGCAGCACGAGTGGGTCGTTTGGACTAGTAGGGAAGAGATAGTCACTTCTACGATGCAAGCGGAAAGTAGCAGCATAGAAACGTCGCGTTCCATATGGTAAGTGTAGAGAACCAGAGATCCTATCTTCCGTTAACGGGGTATTCTTGAAGAAACCTCAAGGGTAATAAGCATTAACACATCTATATTTTGCTTCCTAATAGAGGATAAATTTACTCGTCTAATGATAACTCTATCCACTTACCATTAAAAAAAAATAATGAACAGGATATAGTGAAGCTATTTTGATACGTGTCATCTTTAATGAGTGTAAATCGTTAAAGTAAACGTCACTGAACGACCGAATCGCGGTGTTGAGTGATCAAGAGGATGTTCAGAGGTGGACTTCGGTCGAGTAATTACTTCACGTGTAATGATCTTATATTTAGAGTGCAACTTGACTATTTTAACACGCTTTGATTATCTTCACGTGTATCTATTTATCTATCTATGTACCAATCTTTTAACGTAATTTTCACCAACTTATAGATGACCGATGGAACTTAAAATTTGCACTCGTATCAAAGACCGTTTGTCCTAGTATCATGATCAGAATCATCAGGATGAAATAAAATAATAATTATACAGGGTCATTACAGCTCATGAAAATTGCATGTTGTTTATGTCTTTTTAAACTTAACAACTTTAAAAAAGATTTATTATATAAGATCTTTTTTAACCATGAACCCGAAAAACTTTTGTCTTGTATTCCGTCAGTGTCCTAAGTCTAACAAGAAATGCCATTGAAAGCTATTGACATCCTTAGAGTACACATAATAGCTTGCTTGTGTAATCTAAGGTGGCATCTGATAGATGGCGAATTAAATACCTTAAAATAAGAAAACGACCACGGAAAGCAATTACCGCGATCTTTCTAAAAGTACGTCATGTATTTCATACTTGGAAGAGGCCCTACCAGTAATGAAATTTAATTAAGAAATAATAAGTAATAATTTAAAAATAAGATACGTGGTAAAGCCATGCTGCAGTTATATAAGTAGTATAGTTGTAGCACGAATGGGTCGGCTCGACCGGGGAAGGGCCAAGCTCTCACAGAATACCAGCGTAAAATAGTAACTTAATGCTGCTATGTTTCGTGTGGTGAGTGTAGAGAACTGGAGACCCTTTTTACTGGAAACGAGGCATTCCATCTTAGTCCTCACGGGTGACAATACATCTGCATTTTGATTTGTAATCGAGGATAGATGTAGATGTGTATGGGCTGCAGCAACCACTTACCATCAGGTGGACTGTGTGCTCGTTTGTCACTCTGTCTTATAAAAAAAATAAAGCCGTGATAGCTCAGGAGCTAATCGCTCGTTGTAAATATTACAGTATGCAAGCAACCCGGGTTTGAGTCCCGCCGGCACCAATGAAATTGGTAATTAAAATTTTAAGTGCTGATTTACCACGTGCTCTACAGTGAAGGAAAACATCGTGAGGAAATCTGCGTGTCTCAGAAATTAAATAAAATAATATTTCAGAGATACGTGAAGTTCACCCACATGCGTTAGGGCGACGCGGCGAACTTTTCCTAGCCCTAAAACCTTCTCAGAAATTAGAGAGACTTAGTAGATTGGAACTTTAACTTTAGTATTAATTTAATAATCATATGTAGAAGTAGTTATTCTATTAAAATATAGTATAAATGGAAATTTTTCAGTTTTTATATTGAATCGAAATAGTATATATATTTTGTGATAAAATTTTTTTACAAATTACTTAGGTTCGTTGAAAAGATTAAGTTATCAATCGCAGTAATGTATGCTCTCATGCCTGTCACCCAGAGGGGTAGGCAGAGACTACAGACTTCCATTTGACACGATCCTGACATCCATATACCTACACATACATGCTCGTTTGTTAAAAGTACTCTTAATTTGGCCCATTTTCAATTTATCGCCAATTTGGTCGACAAATTTTCGCCTAGGGCGTCCCTTATGTTGCAATAATGTTTGACTTTGAAATTGCCCGACCTACAATGTTATGTACTTATGTTCAATTCCCATGTTTAATTATTTACAAAGCCTGTCTAATTCTTCCATTGCAACGTGATACGGCGAATTGCGATTCTTGATAGATGGACAACAATTGATTAAACTTGTGATTCTTGTTAACAAATCAATTTCACTATTTCTATAATACGACTAATTTATGTACTAATTCGGAAAAACAATACCACAAAAAGCTGAAACATCTAAATTCTGAACAAGGAATTTAAGACATTGAACTGGCAGGCATGCATTTAAATCTACAAACAATATGATAACTATTGATTAAGAAATGAAATAAAAACCGAAACCAAAACAAAACCTTGACAAAAACACAACCAACACCACAAACTATCGTGTGCCAACAAACGATACGCTAGCTTTGTTGTTACATTTGAACAATGACAGTTATTTAAAAATCAACGAAAAGAGGCAAGAGGCAATGAACTTTTCTAGCACTTTTAGAATAATTATATAGAAAACATAAAGCAAATTTAAACAATATTTCATTAAGCTTTTTTTTTAATTAGAACTCTTAATTCTGGTTAAAATTAAATAAACAAAATAGTAAAAAGCTAGCGATCGTGATCACAGAACAAAAACAACCAATAACAGATAAGCCAAACGTTCCTAGCGTGGCGCTTTCTACCTGGAGTGTTGCTGCCTCTCGGAAGGCGGCGGGGAAGGCGCGCGGGAAGAAGTCGCCGTGTGATCTCGCGCATCCGTCGATGTTGAAGGGCTGCCCGTGCTGCTTCCGCCGAGCGCCAGCGCCAACCCGCTGATGCTGAAGACACACCACCACATCACCACAGCCCTAGCGTTGAGCTCCAATCGATAGATAACCATGACCTAGCTGCTCCAAATATTCGTGCATAAGAGATAATCAATCACAAAATGGTATAAGCTAAAGTATTCTATGGAAACGCGTTTCCATACTGATATTTGGAACAGATAAGCCGTTGTGATGGAACTAAGATTGATACGCTAACGTAGTACTAAATTAGTTAATGTTTCTACTCTTATATATAGTAATGTTATCTAATATTAAGTGTACTACATAGTCACTAATGGGCACAACACGTATATATATTCCACCGTGGATAAATAAGATTCCATTTATTAAAACTTCGATTATACAGAACTAAATCAGCCGAGCGAAGCAGAACATTCTCAGCGGGGTGAAGAGATACATAAGCGGTGATGTTCAGTTAGTGGCAAGGCAACGGAGGTGTCAGTTAATTCGAAGTAATTTCAAGCAAGCGTACGAATTTCTTTGGTATTAAGACCTATCATGCAAAGACTGAAACTGAAAGAGAAGTATATTCCTACGTGTCGCTACTCCTTGTTAAATCGCCTATTTCGAACTTGGCTATATAATCTGGAGCTAAGCTCCAGAGCTTTACACAGAAACTATGAACTTGTTTTAACAAACGTTGACTTAAATTAACTAGGCCTCTCAATATTTTTGAACTTCAATCTAAGCGATTAGAAGAATATAGCGGCGGTAACGGAAGTGGCGGCAAAATAAGCACGCCTCCTTAAAGTAAATGAAAGTAATAACAACGGATCACGGTAACAAATAAGAAGTTCTGAGAAATGAAGAGTTTTGTGCGGAACATAGCAGGCATTTTATATGCGTGGGGTGGCCTTCAATAACTCCTGACACAGCGCAGAGGATTTATTTTTCGACAGCTTTAAACCTACAAAATTTTTGAGTTGCTTGCAATAAGACGTACATTTATATCTTTATTTAGCAACCTACTTCCAATTAAAGCATAATTATTAATTATAAGAACATTGATAAATGATTTTTAAAGGAAGGTTTTTTTAAAAACAAAATACAATAAGTAAGGCATTTCCTTTGATTTCACGTATAAATCAATTGGAGGACAAATTAGGCAAACCTATATTGCAAGAATGACCATATTTAATTCCCGGCTAAAATTAGCATTTTTATAAAATCTTTATATCTAGTTTCATGATAAGAATGTATATAAAATCATAATTTTATGCCCTGCTTTTACTTTAACTGTTGCTGACAAATTTTTAACCAACTAGACATGGCCACCCTCTTCACCTTTTGTCGAGAAACTAGGACGCCCTAGTGCCATCAAATTGATGGCGTGTGAGAGCGTGCAGCACAGCGACCGTTACCAAAGTCAACATATCTTGACAATCTGCAAAATATTTGGGTAGAGACTGCCATTAGAAAAGTAACTTGAAATTTTTTCAAACAAAAACATTCAGTTAGGTTGCAAATTCAAGGTAACGGTTAACAGGAATAATCTTTGATAATATTAATTAAAAAGTAGATATGTATGTTATATTGCTAATTCATTCATTTTAATAAATTAAAGTTCTTTGTTTTCCAGAACTAGACATTCGTGTAGAAACAACGTTTCTTGTTATTAAAGAAATGTAAGTAAGTAATAAACATACGAAAAACAGAACTGCTGTACAAACTAACACATTAAAGATGAATTATGATGTATAAAAATAAAAAGTATTTTTAGACAGAACAAAAGGTCACCTGAACGTTTCTTTATGACAAAAATAAATGTTAATACATGATTTGTATATTTGCGATAAAGATTCAATTTCCGCAACTCCTAGTTTTCCGGAACCATAAAAAAGGAGGTTGGCTGACGTCATTCAGCATGAGGCCAAGTTTGGGCGGAAGTTTGAAATTGCAACAAAGGATATTAACATCAGCTCACGTATTTTGTGTGCAAAGTGAAATTCGAAGCTAAGTTTTTATCGATTCCGGAACGTTAAAAGGCAAAATACAATTAAAATTGGTATTTAAAAAAGAAAAATTGAAAAATGAAATTTCAAATATTCGTAACTTATTTAATGCAGATGTATGTTGGATTTAGAAATGTCTACATTTTTTTTAAATAAATAAGTATGACAAACCAGCAAATAGACCACCAGCCACCTGATGATAAGTGGATGTTATGGTCCACAGACATATTAATCTATCCTCGGTAAGAATCAAAATGCAGAAGCGTCGTTACCTCTCAGAACGAAGATGGAAGAAGGTCCCATTTACAATAAAAACTGTCTCCGGCTCACTACACTTACTACACGATAAGCAGCATTAAGCTGCTATTTAACACTGGTAATCCACAGCTCATTCACCGTCATGGTGAATCATGGTCATTCACCGAGCGAGCCAACCCATTTGTGCTACAACCATATCACAGCTGCTGCATGGTTCTACTACGTATGAAATTTTTATTATTAAATGGGGGAAATTAATTCATCTTTGTCAACCTTTAAAAACCCATAGCTACATACGAATCGTCCACATCGGAGAGGATTTGCCATAACGTTTGGCAGATGGATTGACGACACCAGTACCAGATATCGGAAACAGATATTTACGACTCCCACAGAATGAGATTAGGTGATAGATTCTCTTACGATTATGGGGACGAATCACACGACATTTATGTATTATAAAAAAATATAAATCATAAACTCTCAAGCCCAACATCCAGAGTTCCATTTGGATCTTGACATGCTCAACCTGACACTTCTTTTTACGTGGTAAACAGAGCAGGTGGTGACGCAGAGCCACGCTGCAGCTATATTGTAGTTGTAGTACGAATGGCTCGACTAGACCGGGGTAGGATCACGCTCTCACAGAATACCAGCGTAAAATAACAGGGTAATGCTGCTGTGTTTCGTGTGGTGAGTGTAGAGAACCGGAGACCCTTTTTACTGGAATCGAAGCATTCACTCATAGTCCTTAGGGGCGAAAACGCATTTACATATTGATTCTTAATTGAAGGATAAACCTGGATGTCTATGGGACACAGCATCCACATACCATCTGGTGGACTGTGTACTCGTTTGTCACCCAATAATATTAAAAAAAAAACTGCTCTCGCTTCTTTTACATCCAAACAACTGTCTGTAAACAGTCTGAACAGACACGAGGTATGCACACAACTCTGTTTGACACCTTCATGGATGCCTAACCGTCCGTGCAGGTGCCGTTAAACCTGATACAAGCCTTAGATACTGCCAAAAAGCAACACTATCCATTCCAGAAGAAATCTTCTATTAATAATATTTTATTTATTCAAAACCTTATTCTACTTTATCATAGGCCTTTTCCAAGCCTTAAAATTCCCAGAAAACTTTCTAATTTTTGACCAAAAGCTTCTCTGGAAAAATCCGAACCTACATTATTTTTAAAAGGATAAAAGGGTGACAAACGAGCACACAGTCCATCTGATGGTAAGTGGTTGCCGCGGCCCATAGACATCTACATCAATCCTCGATCACGCATTAAAATGCAGATGCGTTGTCACCCGTGAGGACTAAGATGGAGTGTCTCTTTTCTAGTATTCACTCAACATACAAAACACAGCAGCGTCAAGCTACTATTTTACGCTGGTATTATGTGAGAGCGTGGTCCTTCGGCCTTCACGGTCGAGCCGAACCATTCGTGCTACAACTAATACTATACTACTAATATTTGAGACAGGTCTATAATCAAAGCTACTAATATACCCACAGTATGACTCTACCACGTAAAATCTATTTTAATGACACTCTATCATATCAAGCTGTCTTACCGACTTTCATGCTTTTTATTGCTTTAAATATTTCTTACAAACTTATTTTATTACCTCTTTCTTTTTCTTTTGAAGATACCTTCATGGATTTACTTTATTTATTATTAAAAAAATCTATTGAGATATCTTAGCTACATGAAACAAAATAATATGAACTTAAGACGATAATGAGGATTTAACCGCGACCGTCCGAGTTAAAATTGCAATAACGTCATGAGTTGATTTAACAATGCATCGTTACATGTAAAGGTGAACGCACATTATCAGCACCGTCCGCGCTGCATTTATTGATGGCCTTGCACATTACACATGCGGTACACAAACCTTTAGTTTTGCCAATAACTTTTAGAGTTTTTTCTAACTACTGGTGAGAAACGGCACAGCGACATTGATAGAAAAAAAATGTAATACCCTGCTAATTGGCAGAGGAAGAAAAAAATAAATTTCGAGGAACAAGATTTTGGATTCACAGTATTCATTTAAAAAGACAGTTGCATGTCTTGGCTGACGAATCATTTTCGCCTACACAGTAAAAGTAAATACTCCCGAAATGAAGTAAAAATGTATTTCGAACCTGTAAGTGCCTTAATCATCTTGCCACTAATTGAAACATCATCATCATTATCATTACAGCTCTTCACAATTCAACTGCTGAACATAGGTCTTCCTCAAGGAATGCCACAAAATTGAAACATAGTTCTACTGAACCACTAGAAAAACACCAGACACTAAAAGAAATATTTCGCCAGAAGAAGAAGAAGACGAAACCACCATAAGTGGAAAATCCACTAAGCTGACAACATTAGACAATACTGAGTATCAACATGCGCCGAACGCGCCGCATATATGACGTCACCAACATGCCTCCTTTAATATTCGGATACTTACAGCATTTTATGAAATAATGCACGTAAGGTTCTAGTGGAATGTGTGAGGTTTCATAATTATGATTTCATAAAAAGAGTTTTAATATGGCGGCGCCTACGACGCGTGATGCGCGAACGGTGCTGATAAATGTGCGTTCACCTTTAGTCTACAGTAAGAGAATCAAAAGTGGATGACATCATCGCAATTATAATATGTTATGCGTCAGTAAACTTTATACACAAATACATATCAAGTAAATTTATTAAATACGTTGTTAGCAATAAACATAATTTGGTCGTCTTCGTTTGATGCCCATGAAAATAAGTAG